GAGAATCTACTGAGTTCTAGAGATTCTGCTTAGTTCTAGGGATTCAAAATATCATTCAAAAGGAGTTGGGCTTGGGTTGTGGCTCAGTGGTACAGTACTTGCCTCACTCACATGAGGCCCTGTGTTCGATCCTCAGCACCACTTAAAAATAAATTAAAAAAATAAAACATTGTGTCCAACTACAACTAAAAAATAAATATTAAAAAACGGGGGGACAGAGTTGGACATAGCACTTACCAATCTGGGCATGGTCTTTGGCTGTTTCCTATGTGTTTGTCTTGTCCATCCTAGCACAGTGTCAGCATTTGAGATGAAAGAATTAGGGCTTTTGTTTCCATTTGTAATCTCTACCTCCAGCTCAACTATTACAAGTGAACACCTCCAGCTCTGCCCATACTGGGCTCCTGTTAATGGATGGATAACTGATGTGCCAGGCTCCACTCTCAGGCCAGAGGCTCACTTGATTTGTAAGGATGACTTAAAGTGTTGAGTATGGTTTAAGACTCCCCTAAAAGGCTACTAGGGGAAAGTGGTTCTTAACTCCCACCTTGTATCAAGGCAATTTCAACCAGTTGTGAGGTCTATGGCAAGGAATTTGTTTCTAGTACCTTGACAAGGTATGTTCTTCAAGTACAAATTTTATTTTTACAAATTGGGCAGATTTAAGATTGTAATTGCCTTGGTCCATTTGTGCGGCTAGAACAGAATACCAAACACAATAAAATAATCACAAATTTATTGGTTTATGATTCTGGAGTCAGAGAAGTCCAATGTCAAGGCACCAGCAGGTTTGTCAGTGAGGGTTTGGCCTCCACTTCCAAGGTGGCTTCTTGAATGATAGACCCTCTGGAGAGGAGAAAGGTTGTTCCTCACATGATGGAAGAGTAGGGGGAAAAGGCCTTTCATCAAGGCATTAAATCTACCCATGAGAGTGATGCCCTTGTGACCTAATCAGTTCCTGATATTATTACTTTGACGATTATATTTCAATGTGAGTTTTGGAGAGGACAAACAGGCTATGACAGTAACGACCCTCTTTCTTGCTTGCCTTGAATTATTCTTTCTGGAGTGGTGTTGGCATCCACATCCTGAGCAGTGATATCTAGGCTGAAGTCTGTCCAGATGGCCTGGGCCAGCAGAGAGCAACCATTGGTTATGTATCATTAATCTTTGGCAACTTTTAATTATCATAGAGATGAACTTCTCCAAACTTCTTTATTTTTTGTCAATAAAAACTACACATTTCCTTAGGAGCATCACATTTACATGTGTTTGAGAAAGAAAGTGTTGAGCACCTTGTCTTCAAGATGACCTTTTGCCTGAGAGGTCAACCTGACAGTTGAGGACAATTGCAGTGTCCTATTGAGAGCTCCTACATTCCTGCAAGGAGATGGAAGCCCCTGGAAGGTAGAAGGTCTTTGAGGTACTTGCTTAAGGAATATTTTTGCCTTTCCCAAACATGACAGACTCCATATGCTAGCTTCAGGGTGCACTGGGAAGCTTGCCTTTTTAAATGGTTGTTTTATTGATCATGGTGTATGACAGTAATTGCCTTTTTAGCTTTTTCTGTTTTAATTACTTGCTTTTTGTCTCCTGTCTTTAAGTCTCTGAGTGTAGATCATCAAGGGTGCAACTTCAAATAAGTCCAGTAGAGAAATGAATCTGTTAAGATGTTGGTGAGGTGACCCTCTTTATTAGGCCAGCTCCAAAATGAAAGTTCTTCTTGAGAGACGCTGGAAAAGCAGAGCTCACGTCTTCGATGACTTCCTGAGTCTGCATGACAAGAGCTCAGGAGGCAAGCTTAGCAAAGTCAGGAAGGCCCTGGGTCGTATGTGCGCAGGTGCTTGTGTGTCGGTGCACATCCGGGCACTCTTCTCCCAGAGTCAGGGACTACGAGGTTGCTGCCTTTTTCAGGGGGCACTGGGGACCGGTTCCAGGATGGTGTCAAAACTAAACCAAAGATGAGCTCTCCGTGTTCAAAAAGGAGTGATTGTATTTTCAGAAAACTTTCCTCCCTCCCCTTTAACCTTTTTCTCTCTTCTGCTCAGACTATGGAAGTGCGTAGTGTTTACTGCGCCTTATGAAAGGGGCAAGTGGAGCCGAGTGGAGGGGTGGCCCTTATGGAAGTCCTAGAGATTGCCACCTGACTGACCTCCCCCCTCTTTTGCATAATGTACCCCACTCCTGGGCCATGTCTCAGGCCTGAGGCAGCTAGCTGCCAGGTGGAAGGTTCCGAGACAGGTACAAGGCTGCATGCTGCTCAAAGTCACAATCCGGGTTGGAGAAGGTTAAAGGAAGCCTCGGACCTCAAAAGCGAATTCCTAACCTCATTATGTGAGGGGTGGGGGCAGCCAATTCTGAAATACGACCAGTTCTAAAGCACTGTTTATAATATCCCTGTTCATAATTAAAATGAACAAACTCTACTCCTTTAAAAGAATTCGTTACTTATATCAGCAACCCCATAAAACGTAATTTTACTTAATTTAATATTTGAGGAAGTTGAGGACCAGAGGAGCTACAGTGACTTTTCCAAATTCCCACAACAGTGAGGGCAAAGCCCGGACAAGTCTTTGAGGTACTTGCTTAAGGAATGTTTCTGCCTTTCCCAAACTCTCCCTCTTCTAACTTCAAGATTAGTCTTTTCCAAAACATTTTTTTAAATTATTTTCTTATTCTTCTTTTTAATTTTCTTTGGGGGAGGGGTATGCCTGGAATCCACACATCACTCCAATGTTAATTATGAAGTCACATTTTCCCTCTTTAAATGCCGCTTCAGAGACGAACTTTCCTGGCTGGCTTTGGAGAAATCATGTCATTATGATTCCAATAGGTAAGTCCACACACCAGTGGCTCAAGGCTGAGTATTTCAGTTGATCAGCATGAGAACAGCCAAAGGGACCTCAGTGGAACAAGACTCTTTCTTCTGCCCGGCTCTTGGTCCCACCACCTCCGCTTCTCAGGCATGGGGATTGCTTGGGATTTTAGAGGACATTTTTCTACCCGAATAGCTGCTATCAGGAATCTGGATGCTGGGTCCTCTTCAAAGAACCCTAAAACTAGAATGACAATGATTATTCCCAGTTTACAGATTAGGAAAGTAAGATTCAAATTCACTATCAATGCAGAGCTGAAATTTATTTTGACCCCAAAACCCACCCATGTTTCTTTATATTCTTTCTTCTCTCATATTTTAATATTGTTTGGTATTAAGGGAACAGAAAGATTTATGATTCCCTAATAACTAAAAATACTGGAGGCACCAGAATCAGTGCCACAGGTCACCCTTAACTATGGCCATAGGTTGACACTTGAAGCTTGAGGCTCAACACTAGCACATCATCCCAAAGGATGTGAGAATCAGGAGTTCAAGATTCTATTTCCAATGCTCTAGCTAGGCATGAACCACCTGGGTGACTCTGGGTAAGTCACTTTGCCTCTCTGAACCTCCATTTCCTCTCTGTGGAATTAGGAATTTAGAGGAGGCCCTCTCTGAAGTCCCATCTTATTCTAAGATTCCTATTCTAAGATTCCTGTAGCACACCAATGGGGACATGTTCTTCTTTAGAACAATTCTGCTACCCAGAATCTTGTGAAGCAATAAGACTCAATTCCCCATAGCCACAACATTGAACTCCCCTCTTTCCCAAAGCATATGGCGTGGTGGATGCCTGCCAGGAGGTTGTGTGAGTGGAAGTGAGGAGGAATGCACATCAGCAGCCAATAAGTTGGGTTCGTCCTTCTTGTTCTCATTACTGAGCACTGGCAATGGGTAAGGGGGGCGTGCTTTTTACAGATCATTTTAAGGACCAGGTCTCTTCCTCTGTAGAGTAAATTATTTCAGGTCTTCTTTATCGTTGATTGACAACATTATCCTGCCCAGAAAAATGAAAATTTCAAATAGAGAAAAAAGTAAGTTCCCATGTCTCATGTTGGCCCCATTAGTGAAGGAAGGTGGAGGAAGACCAATCTCAATGTGCAAGAGAAGGGTCCACCCTAGGAAGGAGAAGACATTTTGATTTAGATTTCCATTGATTTTTTTGTTCTCAATCCCCTGGGGTCTCTACCCCAAATTCACATTTTATTACAAAGCTCAAGACCTTGATAGAAAAATGGGACCGGATAGAAAGAGGATGGGGTAGAAATATAGAACATTAAATATATTTCCTGAGCTATCACTTAGCATAGAATCCTAATATTGAAGACATAAGTCAGACTTTTATTTCTTAAAGCCCTGTCTTTTGTTTATTTTTGCCATTTGCAAAGTGATGATTAATTTTTTTTCTGTGTTAATCACAAAACTCTGTGCCTCTTAGTGGTTGCTCACATAAATTGCTCTGTTGCCAGGCTGTGGGTAGCCCTGGACAGAGGGAAGCCAAGCACAGCTCTGTTTGCAGAGCTGGAAGGGATGCAGGAATGCAGCTCAGGAGTGCCTGCTGCACCCTCTGTCCTCCTTTCCAGATTTATCAGTTTCACAGGGACATAGAGCAGGAGCTTGTCCAGCAGAAATTCCCTTTCCAGGACTTCATTGGACAGCAATGGAGGGGAGTAAGGTAGGTGGACAAAATGTTGATCTGTGATGACAACTTGTGTAGGCGTGAAAAACTTTGTATTGATGATGCAAGTTGTAGACATGCTCGCCGAGCTACACAACTGTCAGTCAGGGCTTGGTTAAAATGCCTGGAAGCTGCTGTGGGGGGGCTGGCTTTGTGGGAAGGAGTGCACACCTGGCTGAGGGGCTTACTTTCTGTCCCAGGAGACTCTAGCACCTGCCTGCAGAAGTTCCCTGGTCGTGGGTAGTGATTTGACCCAAATCCTTGGAATAACTAGCTGCTTAATAGTGGGAGTGGAGCAGAACACAAGCACTGTATTTCTGTAACAGTGAGCTGCTGTAGTCCAATAAAATAGTTCAAGATCAAGTAAAGACACTCAGAGCATTGTCACTGTGTCAGTGGTTCCCAGAAGTGAAAGAACAAAAGAAATGCAATCAACTGGTCACTTTGTCCTGATGGGTTAAAAATTGGTCTGCTTTCCTTTTATTTCCTTAACTGATGTTTGGCCACTGAAATAATGAATCTGGTCTCTGTTCCCTTTGTTTTGACTTGGCTATAAATGTTTGGAGGAGAGTCTTGGGATGTGTATCTCTTCTAGACAGCTGTTTGTATTTGGACAGTTGATGAATATAGAGACAGAAAAATGAAAACAAAACAGAGGTGACCAGAAGTAGGACAAGGTAAGAATCATTGAAGGGTGGTGGCATAAAGGACCAAGACAAAATCAAAATCAGAGCAAAGAGAATTTTCAAGATTAATGGCTTCTGCAATGCAACTTAAACTACGGTCCCAGGTGTCTTACAAAAATATTTTGAAGTTCTTGTGACTTACACAGAATACTTACTACGTGCACATTTTAAATATTACCAGGCACCATTTCCAGTTGAAACAGGTTTGTGAAGGTTTAATAGGATATTCACTTTGAGTGAGTGGGGGAAGGAACGTGATAAAGATGACGATTTACCTGGGATCTGAGAAAGACCCTTGGGAAAGGTACTCAACTACTGTGCAGGATTAATCATCCTTCTGAAATCTCAAATTCATTTACATAAGTTTCTGAGAGACATTCTTTCCTCCATAACTCTGTTTGTTCAGTTTGTTGACACCAGACTCCACAAAGCCATTGTCGTGACAGTATACTTAAAGTCCATTTGAATCGGGTAGAACATCCTTTGAAATATTCTCACACCTACTTTTCTCAGAATATGTACAACGAGAAAAATTCATTTCCTTCCTGTCGAGAAAACTTGATGATCGTTTTCCATTAAGTTAAAATATTACCCACTGTTATGACTTGGGTTTAACGTTCCTGCAGAAATCACCATGTGTCGCCGAGTTAGGCTCTGCTAAGGCCAAGGCACAAGGTGCTATTTCAGAAAATGGGTTGTTTCAGATGAGTTATGATTTTAAAATAAATGGCAAATCATACCATTTGGGGGAGGAATTAATAGGCAATTATATGTTTTTTAAAAAATCACTTTTAGCGTGAAAGACCAAAATTTCAACAGTGTTGTCTCCAGAATATAATTATAAATGCCACAACGACTCTCTGAACCAGAAATAAGAACATTCTTTTAAGATACAATAAAAGCTTTAAGTATTGGGGCAATGATTCTCTTTCAGGAAAGATGAAAAGTAGAATTACAGGCTACTACTGTATTGTAATTCTCCAAGTAGTTTATTTATTTTTAAGTTTCTATTCTCTTCATGGTATTTGTTATTTGTGCGTGAAAGATCAGGAAGGAGGCACTGTAAAGATCAGGGTGATCTCTGAAGATTCACAGTCTCCATGAGCCAGGAGGTGCTGTTTCTTCTGGTGTTTTAGAAGATGTAAGATCAGCAGAACTAGAATTTTAATGACCTGAAGGAGGCTGTACTAGGAACAAAGAAAGGAAGAGGAGAAAGAAGCTTGTTTGGTAAAAAGTGAACAGCCTGGGATTCTTTCACACAGCTTCACCAGGCAGTTCCAGGATAGCCCTCACAAAACTGTGCAGCCTAGATGCTGGAAGTCCATGATCAAGGTGGCAGTGGGCTTGGTTTCCTCCAAGGCCTCCATCCTTGCTTGCAGATGGCCTGGCTGCCCTCTTCTGTCTCTTCCCCTGGTGCACAGGTGCCCTCGTGTCTCTCTTTCTATAAGGACACAGGTCACACTGGATTAGGGTCCACAGTTTAACCGTTTTAACAGTCTCCATTTAACTTAATCATCTCTTTGAAACCCCCTCTCTCAAAAAAGCACCCACGTGGATTAGCACCTGGCATAACCTCATGTAACCTCAATTGTCTCTTCAAAGGCCCTGTTTCCAACCAAGGGCAGTGGCCCACACCTGTAATACCAGGGTCTCAGGAAGCTGAGGCAGGAGGATCATGAGTTCAAAGTTAGCCCCAGCAACTTAGTGAGGTTCTAAAAAACTCAGTGAGACCTTGTCTCTAAATAAAATACAAAAAAGGGCTGGGGATATGGCTCAGTGGTTAAGTGTCCCTGAGCTCAATCCCTGGTACCAAAAAGATTTTAAAAATAAAATAAAAATGAAGGCACTGTCTCCAAATACAGTTTCATTCTGAAGTCCTGAGTGCTGGGACTTCCGCATATGAATTTGGAGGTACACGATCCAGCCCCTACCAAGTGTGTTTTGTTTTGTTTTTAATGCAAGAACAGGTGGTGCATCTGTGGTGGACACATGCTGGCTGTCTCCAAAGCCATAGCTGAAAGGAAGAATAAAAGTAGGTGAGCATTACTTTCCTTGGGATATTTGAGGCACTGAAAATTGAAAAGGCCCGATTTCATTTTGATTGAACAAGTTGTTAGATTTTTTTTTTAATTTTTTATTGTTGGCTGTTCAAAACATTACATAATTCTTGATATATCATATTTCACACTTTGATTCAAGTGGGTTATGAGCTCCCATTTTTACCCCATATACAGATTGCAGAATCACATCAGTTACACATCCATTGATTTACATATTGCCATACTAGTGTCTGTTGTGTTCTGCTGCCTTTCCTATCCTCTACTATCCCCCCTCCCCTCCCCTCCCCTCCCCTCCCCTCTTCTCTCTCTGCCCCCTCTACTGACATTCATTTGTCCCCCTTGTATTATTTTTCCCTTTCCCCTCACTTCCTCTTGTATGTACTTTTGTATAACTCTGGCGAATCGGATACAAAAACATATCAAAAAAATTGTGCACCATGATCAAGTAGGATTCATCCCTGGGATGCAAGGCTGGTTCAATATACGGAAATCAATAAATGTTATTCACCACATCAATAGACTTAAAAATAAGAACCATATGATCATCTTGATAGATGCGGAAAAAGCATTCGACAAAGTACAGCATCCCTTTATGTTCAAAACTCTAGAAAAACTAGGGATAGCAGGAACATACCTCAATATTGTAAAAGCAATCTATGCTAAGCCTCAGGCTAGCATCATTCTGAATGGAGAAAAATTGAAGGCATTCCCTCTAAAATCTGGAACAAGACAGGGATGCCCTCTCTCACCACTTCTGTTCAACATAGTTCTCGAAACACTGGCCAGAGCAGTTAGATTTTTTAATAAGAATTTCGGATATACACAAAATGGCAAGAATAGTACAATAAGCTCCTATATGTTCACCCATTGGGTTCAACAGTTGTCATGATTTTGAGCCTCCTTCTTGATCCACTCTTTCCTTTCTTCTTTTTCTGGGGGGGGGGGGTCTTTTGTTGTTGTTGTTGTTGTTGTTGAGGTTTATGTGTTCTAATCCTGGGTATTGTGTCATTTTTATCTGGTGTCTCTTAAATATAAGTGTTTAGTTATACATATCTTAAAATTTAAACTTTCTTATGTAACCGTAATACCATGCTCATGCCTAATAGAAGAAATAATAAATTGCTGTTCTCACTTTAATACCAATTCAAATGTCCATCATCTCAAAAAACTACAGTTAATTATATGAAACAGTGTCCAAACAAGATTACATTCAATTGATATTAGACCATTTATTTTGTGAAAACATTCTTTCTTTCCAAAGAATGCATCATTTATGATGTCCTGTGAGGTATGTGATTTTTACTTGGAAATGGTCCTAAATGCCAGAAATAAACTCTTCCTCTAATAGGTAGGCTTGGATGGAACTGCTCATTTCACAATACCTTGGTGGTGCCGCAGAGTTACCTGGTTAGTGGTCAGCCTTACTAAACAGACATTTGATTTTTGTTTAAATAATATTTTGGTTTCTGGAATCACATTAGATTCTATAAGTTCTCCTCTTATTTGAGATAACATTTTCCTGCATAATGCAGGAGAAACAGCCATCTTTAGACATTCCAGTTACTCTGAAGTTATTCACATACCATGTGGATTTCAGCTGCCCTCCCTGTATCCTCCTTTAAGTTAACAAGATAAACTTGGTTCAAGACCAATTCTACTACCCATTCAAGTTCAGAGTTCTTGCTGGGATTCCTGCTGCTGTCCAGGGATAATATCCTCCTGGGCTCCTTATGCTTCTGGTCACAGGGACTGCCTCTCTCCCATAAACATATTCTAGGCACGAAACTCAGCTTTTTCCACTTTCAAAAACCTCCATTCACATCCACCTGGCATTTGGTGAACTTTGTCACTTTATTTAAGGGACCACAGCCATGGAGAGGACTCTCCTCATATAGATCACAACCTTTTACCTCTGGTTGGTCTCTCCCTGGCCTCTGCCTCTTGCCCACCCACTTCTCCTCACTCTCTTTTCTCTCCTCTCCCTCTCATGAGTATGACAGACTCCTCTCTAACTCAAACAGAGAAGTTTCATAACAATTTTTCTAGTTTAAATATACTCTCAGGTCTCACCCTCCACCTCATGTGACTTGCTAAAATATTTCTTTGAATGTACTCAGGCTCACTTTCAGAGGTATCTGAGGAGTGCACACTCCCCTACCTCATTAGAAATAGATAACAGTCAGCCCATACATTTCTGATCCAGTTCCTATGTTCATCCTGCACTTCCAAAACAGTGTGCTGGGGGCATCTCTTGGAACCCCATCCTCTAGCAGAGCAGAGCACCAGGAATGTACCCACAACTACTCAGAAGGCCACATCAGGGCTGTACATAGTGATGCTACCAACTCTAAAAGGCATTTTTATTTTATTGAAAGACAACACTCCTTGGTGCAAAAGCTTAGTAGTTAGTTTGTCCACATGCTACTCTCATCATCCACAAAGCAAACCTGTGGCTGAAGTCAGACTATTTAAACCTGCCCTTTTCTGAAACCCAAGTTTTCTTAACACACAGTCAATATTCTTGCAGCCAAGGAATTCTTATTTGCCACTAAGGAAGGAAAACAACAACAACAATAACAACAACAAAAAAATTCTCTGAATATTTGTGTCTCACCCAATTCCACAGATCACAAAGGATAAATGGATACACTCTCTTTGAACTTGGCTTCAGGTGTATGTCCATCAATCCAAGTAATCCTGGCTGCCAGAGGCTGCAGAATCCATCAACCTGGCCTCAATTCCAGCCCAGCATCTGAATCTGCTTACAATTCTTTTTTTCCCCCCTACTTAAGCAGGGATAGTCAGGGTTCTCTATGTTTCCTTTCTTTCATGTCCCTTCTGACACTTGCCTTAGCCTCCAGTCCTCTTAAACTTGCACGTCGCTCCCTAGGACTCTAACACCAGATGGTATCCCATTATTTGACAAAAGCTCTCCAAAGAGTGAGAATATTGACTCTGAGTGTGAGGGCACTTGAGCTATGCAGTATCTCCAACTCATCTTAGCTGCCTAAAGTGCAGAAATATACCTCATGGAGCAGATATGTGCACATAATGATTCCTGCAAGATGCCAACATCCTCATCAGAAGCCACAGAGTCACGAGCCCTTGACACAGTCCTTGAAATAAAAAAATCATAACATCTTAATTTTTTCCCTGAGCCAAGAATTGGCCATTTTTGCTAGTTTTCAGGACTTTCTGTCAAGAAAATACATCTTTTCTGTGACCAAGCATTCCCCTGGGTCTATTTGGAAAAGGATATTCTAATGAGTACAATATTTGAATACTACCACATTTCCATTATACCTGCCTCATTATCTTACATGAATCTATCTGTCCTTTGTTTGGAAATGTGCTTATTGTGAAGTCTGGTAAATCTCAGGTGAAAATTGTAGATTTATGAGCTGTTCTCCAGTTCCTGTCTGCTCTTTCCTAAGGCCACAACCCCACAAGATCAGTCACTGGAACGTGTTTTGGTGTCAACTTTGAAATTCCGCTTTTTAAGAACATTTCATAATGAAACCTTGGAAATAGCATGTGGAGGTTTTCCTGCTGACATACCCCAGAAGGTCACATGCTCTAATTTAGCTTTAAGGGACACTAATCATATTCAGCGTGTGAGTAGAGAGGCTTACAGTTGGAGATGACACCATCATTTGCATAGGATGTAAAAATGAAGGACCATTAATTTTATAGCATTAATTGAAGAGCAGAAGTGTTAGACCTCTATAATTATCTTCCGTGAATACATTTCAAAGACATCTCCACAAATGAGGCTTGTGCGTGTGCATGTGCGCAGGTATAGACACAAAGAGCAAAGCGAGGGCTCCACTTTGTCCCCCCTCAAGATGCATAGATTAGTATATCAAGTGAAAAGCTTAACTTAGATCTGAATTGCTTTCTCTGTGAGGAAACAAGAGGTGTGAATTCTAGGCTCCTAAGAGGATATTTTTTCCCAGAAAGGGGGTCACCCCGCCTGCAAACCACATTTCAGAACTACTGAGATAGAGAACAGGGGAGGTGGCAGCTCCAGGAGATGGGCCATGTTCCCAAATGTCCTCCAGCACCCCCACCAGGACCTGGTGCCCTGCTCCTAGACTATCCTTCCTACACTCTGCATTTACCATTCCCATGTAGTCCCTACAGGCCAAACCCAGCTTAATAGCCGTGAGTCCAAATAAGTGATCACTCTGCAGTGTTAGTCACCGCAGTGGTTTATACTCCAAGGTCAGCACAGAAAGTAGCATTTCTAAGAATTTAAACAGAAGGTCAGAGGAATTATTTGAATGACATTAGTTTTGTAGCCCCCCCACCAACGCACAAAAAAAATCAAAGTAGAATAAAAAGCATGAATTTTTTGGAGGGTGGAGTTGGAGGGATGAGC